TAATTGTAATTTGTATGTTGCATAACTATTGTCGTCGTTAAATATTCAATTAAATATTTCAATTACATTTACTTGCAATTGCTTGTACATTTAAATATGCTTATAATTAACAACTTAAACGTTCATCGTTCATCCAATATGATAAATGTGTTTTTGCGCACTTGTTAAATACTTTAACAAACTAATTATTGATTGAATTTCTATTCACAATTGTGTAATTATTTTAAATCTTTTATTATTTATAAACTCTTTTTTGTAACTGAATATTAAATAAACTATTAAAATAAACAAATCAAATAAAAATTAAAAGAAACAATTTATTTATGTTCTTTATTTATTTTAATTGTTTATTTAATTATGTTTTATTCATGAATTTTTATTGTTTACAAAAAAAATTTAATTGTTTATGTAATATTTATATGATTTCTTTATTTTAATTGTTAATTGAATATTTCATTATTTGTTTAAATTGTTTATTCAATATTTAATTATTTATTTAATTTTTAATTTTTAATTTTTTTGTAATTATTTATTGATCTCAGTCCTCCATTATTTGCGTCATAGATCCCTCAACTATGATTTTGTAAAATTTATTCCTCAGATTTTGACTTCCATCTCAATAAAACCCTTCATAAATTGCATCTAAGGTTCCTTAACTTTCGAAAATTATGGATTTCGATAATTAGATTTATAATTTCGTACACTTTTGGTTAGGGTTGGACATGGGTCGGTTCGGTTCGGTTCGGTTCGGTTCGGTTCTCTTCAAAATCGAACCAACCAAAAATTTTCGGTTATTTAATAAATGAAAATGTCGGGTCCAAATATAATTATAGAAACGTTCGGGTGCGTTTTGGTTCCGTACTATAATTAAATTTTTTAAACATTTACAATAACATTACATAAATACAAATAATGACATGTTCATTCGTAACTTTTACAAATTAACGTAACCCAATTTAAAAATATATAAATAAAAAGCTATCCAATAAGATTAATTCAATGTATACAAAGATCAAAAAGTAGATACTAATATTAAAATATCGGNCAAATAAATTAAAAATTGTTCAACTAATAAGATTTACTAATTTGTTTTTAAAATAATTTAATTAATTCAATATAAAAAATTAAAAAATTTATTTAGATTCGGTTCTTCGATTTTTGGTCCGAAACAGAGAACCGACCAAAACCCATCGGTTCTCGATTCAGATACTCTTTCGGGTATTTAATTTATGAAGAACCGCTCGATTCGATTTGGTTCGATTCGGTCCGGTTCAATTCGAGGGTTTTTGTCCAGCCCTACTTTTGGCGCTTTTTCACTATTTTTGTCTTGTTCTATTTCCTTTTAGTACAAAAGTCATACTTACACAGTTGTCAATAGAAATTCTAACATGTGGCTAAGATGTTCAATCGATTTTTCACGGGTTCTTCTTTTTCACCCGAACAATGATGAATATATGCAAGAATTGAATAGGTGAAATTTGTTAGAAAAAATATTCGTGAACAAAGACTGAATTTACAACACATACCGAATATTCATCTTACCGTATATGTAACTTACCGGATATGTAACCAAAATACCGTATATGCAATTTATCGGATATGCAACCAACATACCGTATATACAACAAACATATACTTATGCAACTAACATATCGAATATGCAGTTTATCGTGTAGACAATAACTTATCGAATAATAGTTAATATTTAGCAGATTAAATAATTTGCTAATTTCAACAAACAAAATAATTTATATAAATCACATAAAATAAAACAAATAATCTAAATAGTAGAGAATAAAATTCAATTTAACTTTAAAAACTGAGGCCCGTGTGAGCACAGTTTCCTTAAAACAGATTCGCTCTTTCACCGTATGTGCTTGAGATTTAATTTGAGCGTCTATTTCCCAAAATACAACGGTAAACCAGTAGAGTCCGAGCACTTGAGATTCTACTCCGACGAACTAACTTAGTATCTAAACAATATCACCACCAAGACTTTGACAGACAGTAAACTATGTATACAGACATATGACAATTTCGTTTTGGAAGTTAGTTAATCTTGAAATAATTTTTTCCATATATAAAAAATACAACATAAATTAAATTTGACAAGTCCTTATTTTTGTCATTGTGTGTAACTTGTAACAAGAATTAACTAGTATCAAGTCACAACAAAACCTAATCATCAATTCAATTAGATGATTTAAGGAAAATAAAGTGATTTTAAGCATTAAATAGCCAAAAAATGAAATATTCGGGTACCCAGACTTCGACACAACAAAAGGTGGCTAAAGAATTGAAGAGAAAATCCACATGAACAAGGTGATCGAAATAAATAATAAAGATGAACAGTGATGGATCAAACGTCAGAAGATCGAAAAAGCAAAGTGAGGAAGCTATATGCCGAGTATGTGAAGAAATTAGAGCATAAAATTAGGTACAAAAATTTTCACAACACAAATGACATACCAATTACAAGATGATTGAATTTGAAGTTCATCACAAAGAATAAATAAATAAATAAATTGCAGTTTAGAGTTGTGTGGATCAAAAAGTTATGTGCGTTCGAAATTCAGTTGTCTAAATAGAATGACCGGTGCTAGGCGCCGATGGTTGATCCTTGGGCAGATCCTACAAGTCTTGTTCTGTAGTTGAACCAAATCCTCCACACCTAAGCGTCGCCACTGGTGCCCATTTTCCTCGTTCATTTTGAAAACCTCTTTAGGAGTTCAAAGCATTCCAATTATGTTTTTGAGACTTTTGGAGACCTATAAAAATTAGAGAGCACTCATTTAGCATCAAGTCACAACCAAACCCAACCACAATCCCATATAAAACTTTGTACAATCCCAAATGGCTGATGCAAGGAAGCCATACAGATTACAAAGTGCTCATAAAAGACAATGCAACTGGTAATTCTAAATTTCAGATACAAACATTACTATCACAAGGAAACTAAAAATTGCACACTATCAAATTTATACAACTAACTCAAGAACGGCAACAATAGGAATCGCACGTACAAGGCATCAACACAATGCCAATGCACTGTCATTAGAATGATAAAGGAAAGAGTTACTAGAAATATTTCCACAAGCAAAGTTTATTCTCTGAGTTGCTCATAACTTACACCAGAAGCCACTTACATGGTTGAATTTGCATAGGTTATGCTCCAACTTTCACAAGTTTAAACATAAAACTTTTCACATAAAACAACTGGCAATCTTACTCTAGGGCCATCTATGTGCATCCATCAATTTGAGGCACAGGTTCAAATTGAGTTCCTGTGAGCAAAATTCCGCTTACATGTATATCTGCTGGAAGGAAAAGGTCAACCTTGTCTTCAAAGCAAGTTTTCTTAGCGTAAGCAAGTCTTAAAGAAATCAGAACATAATAATAATTGTTAGCTTAATAACGGACGATTCTTAAGAATTGTTGGCTTAATGACAAATAAAACATATATTTTTTTAGCGTAAGCAAGTCTCAAAGAAATCAGGACATACATAAGATTTTACAATAGATGAAACACGAGTGACCTAAATACCCAGTAAAACTACATTCATTTACTAGCTTGTGAGCTCCTCCTAGTGTGACAAAATTGCAACATTCACGAAAAATGAGCAAAGCTAAAACAGCAAATAGTTCAGAAAGCTGCCTTCCTCAAATAAACACGATAAAAATCAGGATTTAAGCTAGCACTTATAATACAATCATAAAATTTGACATCCAGAATATGAAATTGTGAATACATTGATTGAGGATGTTCTTGTTGCCACGAATTCGAACTGGATAAGAATGATGAAGATTGCATCCAACTTCCCCCATCCCACGGACTTGAACTTTTATTTCTCATCAATTCAATTCAATCCAATCTACCTAAAAATTCTTAACCTGAGAATCCAAGAAACTTTACCCTGAATATCTAACAAAACTCAGGAACCAAAAACCCCAAAGGGCACTTCAGAATCAATTACCCCAAAAACCCAATACACAGCCCAGGATAACTGAACCAAAAATTCAAATTTTGGAAACAA